AAAATATCGGATCGGTGCATCCCTAATACAGAATAAGCAATTTATGGCCATAATATCCAGAGTGCATCCAAAAGTTGCAGGACAGCGACACTGCAGGATGGGGGTTGCAGGAAACCAGCCCACAACTATATGATGGTGAGCATTTTAATAGAAAGCTGATTGGAAGGAGAAACTATGGTAGATGTAAAACGGACAAGAAACACAAATAACCACAACTTGAGAGGACTGAAGTAAATCATTAAAACTTTTGGTTCTAATTTTCGATTAAACCTAATTAAATTAATTAACAGCCATAAGCATTAAAAAAGAACAAATGCATGGTTAAAATCATTTCTCTGTATAAAATAACCATGTTAAACAAAAACATTTTGGTTTAGAAAAAAAAACAAATCGAACTTTTAGTAGATGTTTTAATTATTGCAAAGCACTTGTACTTGTTATGCTCTCTCTGCTTTTTCTCATAGCAACTTCATCTGGTCTGTTCCTTTTTGGCTATGACACTATCCTGGAGAGAAATATCAGCTGTGCTGCTGCCATCAACAGCTTTGTTTAAAGATGTTGGAGCTTGGCTTGTTTTTCAGTGTAGTCCTGTTTCTCTGACTGTGGCTGGCTGGATGTGCTCTCTTCATCCTCTGACATGGGAGCTGGCTCGGAGCTCGTCTGCTTGGCTGTGTGTTTCTTGGACGGGGCCGCCTTAGAAGCTGGTTGACAGTTGCCTTTTGTATCTATGCTTTTTTTTTTCTATGTCTGCTTCTGTCTCCTTGAATCCTAGTCTGCCTCTGCAGTTGGCCACTCACACTTAGCTTGGTTCTGCTGGAGGTTATTTTTCCTCTCCACTGTCACTACAAGCATGCTTGGTGTGAGGGATTACTTTTGAGTTAATGAGACAATGCAATCAACTTGTTTTCCTTAAATAGTAAACTTTGAATCAATCTGACGGTATGATCTGGTTGAATTGTCTCTATAAAGTGCTTTGAGATGACGCGTTGTGAGTTGGTGCTACATGAATAAAATGAATTGAATTACTTACAAACTGTTGAAGCGCCGCCCTGCAGGCAGCATAGCAGTACTGCACCCAGCGCACAAAACACTGGAGCTTTTCTCTTTTTCATCCAAGGAGTCCAGGCTTGCTTTCCAGACATCTTCCATGCACTATGCCCTGAAAAACACAACAAATAATGATTAGAGGGTAATTTACATACTACGTAAAACATGAGCACAGGTGATCTCACTGGATGAAACGAAAACACCAGCACCAAAAAACTCACGATACAACGGGGGGAAAAAACACAACATTCATCTAAAAAGGCAGCCCTGAGCTCATACTTGCAACATTCTGTCAGCTCAGATCCATCTTGTATGTGCAAGAACAAAAACAGACTGCCATTAATGCAACCCAGGTGAAGTGGTTGCAACCTGCAGCACCCTCAGCAGCCAAAAAATCCAGACACAAACAAAGCCTTTCTTTTCTCTCAGCCCCCATTTCTCTGCCTTCACCCGCAATCCAGCCTGCACTCATCAAAGGGGCGCCCTCATTCAACGGGCCGTAACCTGAAGCCTCTGCCTTCCCGCTCAGGTGTAACCGATACAGGTAGAGGGGCTTAAAAGGAGGAAGGAGGGAGGGAAGACGAGAAGGGGGGAAACACATAGGCTGCATTCACGAGCTGGGACAAAGAGCAACTACTGATGGGAGAAGGGGCTGGAGAAGGGGGAATGTATAACCCAGCAGTAATGGATATGTTAAGGGTAGAGAGAACAGATTATATTGGGAGTAATAGCCAGTATATGAACAGTTCATGCTCAGAGGAGAGCTTTTTTCTCTCTTGTCGTTAAGGCCAAGTTTCCCAAATTCTTTCCTGTCAGGTTAAACTAACAACTTCCCGTCAGGATGAGGGGGGGTGGTCCTGCAAAAGTGAACCTCTCTCTTTTTCTCCCCTTTCTCTTACAAACATACAGCAAATGCCCCTGAGCATGATCGACTGTCCTCTAATAGTGGAACCAGAACACAACTTACATATTTATCCTATTAATGCAGGAGGACGATTAATGGAGCTCCCTTGAACAGGCTTTTTATTTGTGGGGGCAAAGCTGGAGAAAAAGTTAGTGGAAACTCTTACAGCTCACCTTCATCATCTAATGGGAGCAGTAAAAAAGGTTTCGCTGCCAGGCACATTTATTGAAAATGAGCAAAGGAGGCGGCTAATGGAAAAACAGCTCCCAATGTCTGCAACTGCTAAACCAGACCACACATTGCTCTGCAGAAACTTAACTGCTTACTATGAATGTGTAAACAACTTTAGATGAATTCTGACGTTAATGGCAACAGCCAGCCACACGCATGAAAACACAATGTAGGGTGTTGAAATTTACGGCAACTTTCGACAGCTTTTTTGTATTATACAGTGGAAATATTAAAGTTTTTTTTTTTTTTTTCTTGTTGGTTGGAAAGTAGCATTAAGAATCGGTGCAAAAGTAACTAGCCAGTAGAAATAACTCTGACCCTATGGTGTAAGGGAAAAAAANAAAAAAAAAAAAAAAACACACATACAAGACTAAGAAAAGGTTTAAAGACTTTTGAATGTGAAGATATAACTAACTTTGTCGACACTGATTCTTTATTAGAAACTAATACAAAGTTAAAACAGGAGCAAGAAACATAAAAAAAAAAAGATCTGCAACAAATTTTAAGGTGGTAAACAGGTGTACTATTACCAATAAAACAAAAAACATTAATTATAAAATAATTTACCCAACGTCCTTCATTGATGCAGTTGATAAACGAGGAACTGATTCCAGCTCTTTATACAAAGCTTCTTTTTATTTTCAGTCCTCCCATGGTGGCTATATGAGCCCCTCCAAATTGCCTCTTCATTCAATTCTATTTCAAACAAACTTCTGCTGCCAGACATATAAAACAGTTCCCCTCCTGTGATGAAGCCAGAAAATCTTTCCTTCTGGCATGAGTTATTCTGCACCAGGTGTTTAGAGAGACTAAATGTACAGGGCACTGGGAAGGGGAGGAGATATGGTGAGCTATCCCGTAATTAAAAAAAAGGAAGAAATTACCAATTAGAATGAGAAAATCAATGACTAAGGAAGCTTTGTTAAAATTGAACAGTTAGATTTGAAAGAATAAATATTTAAAAAATTGACAGTAAGTTAAATGAGTTAATTACACACAAAGTGATGAGTTTTAATTGTTTATTACCATTCATTTTTAAGCCTTAGGTTTAGAGTGATGAAAACCTATTATTCTGTTTTTGTTGAAATTTGAGCTTTACATCAGAGCAATAAAAAAAAAAGCAAAAAAATCTAAATACAGTATAGGGATGCACCGATCCACTTTTTTCACCTCCGATACCATACTGATATTTGAAGTTTAATGTCGGCCGATACCGATATCAAAAACGGTACTGAATTATTAGCTAAAAAATGGTTTTATTGTGTGAAAAAAAAAAAAAACTGGGATCTTTCTTCTGAGCATATGATTTGACTTCCCTTTTCTTAAAAAAATATAAATCTCATTTATTTAACAACTGTGCACAAAATCTTAAACCAAAAGTTCTCTGACTTGGTCAACATGTAAAAAAAAAAGTGTCATTATCATTATCAAGTATAATCTCTGTGACTTCTTCTGGTCTGTTCCTTTTTGGCTGTGACACTATCCTGGAGAGAAATATCAGCTGTGCTGCTGCCATCAACAGCTTTGTTTAAAGTTGTTGGAGCTCGGCTTGTTTTTCAGTGTAGTCCTGTTTCTCTGACTGTGGCTGGCTGGATGTGCTCTCTTCATCCTCTGACATATGAGCTGGCTCGGAGCTCGTCTGCTTGGCTGTGTGTTTCTTGGACGGGGCCGCCTTAGAAGCTGGTTGACAGTTGCCTTTTGTATCTATACTTTTTTTCTATGTCTGCTTCTGTCTCCTTGAATCCTAGTCTGCCTCTGCAGTTGGCCACTCAAACTTAGCTTGGTTCTGCTGGAGGTTATTTCCTATTAAAAGGGAGTTTTCCTCTCCACTGTCACTACAAGCATGCTTGGTGTGAGGGGTTGCTTTTGAGTTAATGAGACAATGCAATCAAATTGTTTTCCTTAAATAGTAAACTTTGAATCAATCTGACGGTATGATCTGGTTGAATTGTCTTTATAAAGTGCTTTGAGATGACGTGTTGTGAGTTGGTGCTACATGAATACAATTAATTGAATTACTTACAAACTGTTGAAGCGCCGCCCTGCAGGCAGCATAGCAGTACTGCACCCAGAGCACAAAACACTGGAGCTTTTCTCTTTTTCATCCAAGGAGTCCAGGCTTGCTTTCCAGACATCTTCCATGCACTATGCCCTGAAAAACACAACAAATAATGATTAGAGGGTAATTTACATACTACGTAAAACATGAGCACAGGTGATCTCACTGGATGAAACGAAAACACCAGCACCAAAAAACTCACGATACAACGGGGGGAAAAAACACAACATTCATCTAAAAAGGCAGCCCTGAGCTCATACTTGCAACATTCTGTCAGCTCAGATCCATCTTGTATGTGCAAGAACAAAAACAGACTGCCATTAATGCAACCCAGGTGAAGTGGTTGCAACCTGCAGCACCCTCAGCAGCCAAAAAATCCAGACACAAACAAAGCCTTTCTTTTCTCTCAGCCCCCATTTCTCTGCCTTCACCCGCAATCCAGCCTGCACTCATCAAAGGGGCGCCCTCATTCAACGGGCCGTAACCTGAAGCCTCTGCCTTCCCGCTCAGGTGTAACCGATACAGGTAGAGGGGCTTAAAAGGAGGAAGGAGGGAGGGAAGACGAGAAGGGGGGAAACACATAGGCTGCATTCACGAGCTGGGACAAAGAGCAACTACTGATGGGAGAAGGGGCTGGAGAAGGGGGAATGTATAACCCAGCAGTAATGGATATGTTAAGGGTAGAGAGAACAGATTATATTGGGAGTAATAGCCAGTATATGAACAGTTCATGCTCAGAGGAGAGCTTTTTTCTCTCTTGTCGTTAAGGCCAAGTTTCCCAAATTCTTTCCTGTCAGGTTAAACTAACAACTTCCCGTCAGGATGAGGGGGGGTGGTCCTGCAAAAGTGAACCTCTCTCTTTTTCTCCCCTTTCTCTTACAAACATACAGCAAATGCCCCTGAGCATGATCGACTGTCCTCTAATAGTGGAACCAGAACACAACTTACATATTTATCCTATTAATGCAGGAGGACGATTAATGGAGCTCCCTTGAACAGGCTTTTTATTTGTGGGGGCAAAGCTGGAGAAAAAGTTAGTGGAAACTCTTACAGCTCACCTTCATCATCTAATGGGAGCAGTAAAAAAGGTTTCGCTGCCAGGCACATTTATTGAAAATGAGCAAAGGAGGCGGCTAATGGAAAAACAGCTCCCAATGTCTGCAACTGCTAAACCAGACCACACATTGCTCTGCAGAAACTTAACTGCTTACTATGAATGTGTAAACAACTTTAGATGAATTCTGACGTTAATGGCAACAGCCAGCCACACGCATGAAAACACAATGTAGGGTGTTGAAATTTACGGCAACTTTCGACAGCTTTTTTGTATTATACAGTGGAAATATTAAAGTTTTTTTTTTTTTTTTCTTGTTGGTTGGAAAGTAGCATTAAGAATCGGTGCAAAAGTAACTAGCCAGTAGAAATAACTCTGACCCTATGGTGTAAGGGAAAAAAACACTTGAACTTGTGTTTATTTATTGAAATCAATCAAACTGGGCTTGCATGTTGCTGAGTCCAGAGCGCAGAAATAGAAGGCGAGAACTTCTAAAATGCGCATTAAGAAAACGGTGAATTCTGTGAGGCAGACTTTCCAAGCAGCCCACTTGCTTTTAGTTTGAGCTAATCATAGTACTGATTTTTTTTTCTTAGGTAATTCAGGGTGCGTACATTAGGATGTGATTTTGTTTTTTCTTTGCTATTTCAAAATCGATACAGTCAGTTTTCGATCTTTTAATAATAAAGGTGGTGCACCAGCATCATAGGCAGCATCTGAAATGCCTGGTGGATGAAAATTAAAGCACAGCATGAACTCAATCCAGCTTAGGGAACAATGGAGTCTTTGCTGAGTGTAAAGAAACATTGTTTATGACAGTCCGATATTGAAGGCACATGGCTTAAACTGTCTGAACAACACAAATCAAAATCTGTTATAAGCTTTTACTTCTAATGACAGCCTGCCTAGTTAATTGCCAAAATACCATCTAAATCATTAACACACTTAAAAGATAAGACAGTTTATATTCTTGAAGAAAAACTATTGAAATTATTAGCACACTTAATCTTACCATTCCTACATCAGGTACTACATAAATTAAGTGCTTCGCTGCACAAGAAACAACTAATTATATTAATAGGTAGCATTTAAGTTTGGGCAATATTTAATTACAATATAAATAACTAAATAATTCTATTTAATTTGACGATGATATGAAATTTCCAGTCAATATGCATTACACTCTATATACAACATTTGTCACTGACTTTTTGGGTTTTTATGTGTTTTGTTGTGCAAATATTTCCTAAATGGTATATTGGATGAGTTTTATTAGCATTGCAAACTTCATGGCAACTGTTGTGGACATTCTCGGCAGTCTTTCTGAGGCTTTTATGCTGTTTATATCAATATCAAAAGTATATCCTATCAACCAATATTAGGAAATATATACTACGAATGGCAGTTTTCTGCATTCGTAGCAGTAAGTTTTAACAATTTGCTTGGTTAGTCACCTGATGTGTAAAAAATGTACAACAAAAATGTATATTTCTTTTTCTATCAGTTAATGTATCAAATGATTAAGTTCCACTAACAATTTAACTCCATCTAGATCAGTAAACCTGTACATAAAGTGATTTATGGACAAAATACAACAATAGCATTGTTAGCTTTTAGGCTAAGCTAGTTCATTGGTAGCTATAGCACATTTCAGCGAGAAGAAAGCTGAAAGTGCTGTACATGAAATGAACATAAGAAAAGTAAAACACACTGAGAAAAGTACAATAATAATGATAATCACAGGGGAAGAAAACATGCACCATAAACTTTCACTAGTTACTGCTAGTAACAGGAAAAGTGACTGTTTTGCTAACAGCTAACATGGTCAGTAACATGAAGCATTTCTATTTTTGATAGAATCTTTAAAGTTATTTTAAATAAATATTAGCATACTTATATTGATAGTTAGGGCATAATCTATATTGACAAAAACATAACTGTACTAGTTTATGTAAAAAATTAAAGCAAAACGCTGCCATTAGCCTGCATCTCTGGTTAGTTAAAGCTCTCTTTTCTTACAACAGAAACATTTTATCTATGGTTTTGTCATTGATACCACCTAATCAATTTAGTAACATGTTTTTAAATAAATGATCAGTAAAAAACTGAAATTATTTTTGTTTTGTGTTGTTTTTAGCAGCAGGCAGTACTGCTACTTACTACTGCTAGCAGCTAGCCTGCTCAGTTAGCATTTGAGCTATTGCTAGTTGCACAATCTAACTTTTTTTTATGAGAAGGATCGGTCAATTTCTTTTAATTTCACACTGCCCAGTTTTTATATTCAAAGAAACAAGAAAATGCATTATTAGCTTGCGTCGCTAAAAACAACTAACCATATCGAATGCCCTACTTTTATATGAAATACAACAATATTCAACCGGTCAGGTTTTCTTTCATTAGTTGATGTTTCGCTCTTTATTTGTGAATTAAAAGACTTTAAGCCTTTAAGTTAATTTACAATTTGATGTTTCACTACCTTCTGAAAACTTGAAGGTAATCTTTTGAGTTTTCTTGTTAGTTTCATTTTTCCAGACTAAGAAGGAGTCACCATAACCTGAAAAACAATGATGCTTTCTGCAGCTCTCTAGATAAACCATCACAGATTTGTTCCCTCTGATTCACTCTCTTTTCCAAAGTTAGGCCCATCAGTAGCGGGCTTACTCTGTAAACAAACAGCAAACATGCTTGGTTCCAGGAGGCAGCGGAGCTGAAGGCCTGTGGCTTCTGTGGCTGTTTGTAGTATGGACACAACTCCGGACAGCTGGCTGTGCATGTGTATGGAGCACCTGTTGCAGCTGCAAGAGTCAATAAGTGTAAACCACACTGAACCACCAGCCAAGTGGAACCACAACAGGATGTATGCTACCAAGCTGTGCAATATCTGTTCCGCTTGTTACATATATTAAACAAAAATGACAAGAAGAGAAAGAAAATGAGAGAGAGATAACGCTTTCGGTATAAGCAGGCCCCTCAGATACCATCAGTCCCTAAAAGGCAGCCCTGTTCCTCTGAGCCTGTCTTTCTGATTCATAAATCAGCTGGGTCCACTGTTTGCTTTGCCTCAAGATGAAAAGTTGGCTTGACATCTATGTCCAAGTTTTTCCATCTATCCCTCCCAGAGAGGACACAGACATCCAGGCAGAAGAGCCTCCTACGCATCAGGCTCACTGATAAAACACAGACCATCCACCCAGACAGCTCCACTAAATTAGCATCCAGCTCATGTTAGTATAACACGACTGTTTTGTTTTAGCTTCAACACTAAAGACACAGCTGAATGACAAAGCTCTTAATTCTAGCCTAATAACGAAGACAGATAAAGAATTTCTACTAGAGAAATCACCAGTTGCTTTGAATGCTGTCCTAACATTAATAAGTCATAGATTTTCATCAAGCACAGTTAGTTTATTTTAGTGGTAGCTTTTTTTGGTTTTAATAAAAATCTTAAATTACAGAAATAACCACTTAGCCAGGGTAATTATGTGCTCTCATACTTTTTGGCATTATTAAACCCCTTTATTTGAGAAGTTCCTATGGTGAGGTAAGTGGAGGTTGTAGGTCTATCATGGCCACTTGTAGCACACAACTTTCATACAGGTACACAAAAACAACAAAATTCTTTTTTCATCTTGAACTTTGGCTAAGAAATAAGTTCAGAAACGACCAACCAATGTGTTTTCATGGTTTAAAGGTTCATAGAGAGGCATGAGGTGGTTACTGGTATCAAGATCTATCAAGATTTTTAAAAGTTGTGATTTCAAAACCTCTACAATGAACATTTTGTTAATTGATTATTTATTTCCTGAGATCTCTGACAAAGACACACATACTTTCCCTCCTTCCACTATCTTCCTTTCAGTTGGCTGAAAGAAGGCAGTTTAGTCACGATTTAAAGGAAGCCAAATCCAGCTGTTAGAAAAGTTTCTGCTCTTAAAAAAGCAGAATTATAGTGGGGGAAAAAGGGGTGCAGCACACATCTATAATTCTCAATAACATTACACTGTTTTCAAACTGACCAGATGCCTGTAGCAGGGAATAT